GCAATCAAGCGACGGCCCCGGGCACCCGACCTCGAGGGTGGAAGGGGGGCCCAGGGACCACTCTTTTTCACCTCGGACGAAGGAGGAGAGGAGAGGCCGGGTTTCAAGGTGGACCCGATTGGGCCACAGGTCGGGCGCCGCGCGCGCCCGCACCCGAGGGTGTCAGCCCGCGGGAACGGCCAGGCCGTCGGCATCTTCGTGGGCCGCCTCGGCTGGCGGCCGTCTTCACTCCTCGCAGCCAGGCTGGCCGCTCGGCAGCGGCTGGACTCCCTTCGGCGCCTCGCGCTGAGCCCGCGCCGCCGCTGGGGCAGGCTGCCCCCTTCTCTTCTGCTCGCGGTCGTCGGTCTCCAGCCGCCGTCTCCTGCCGCCCCTGGTCTGTCTGGCCGCGCCCCCCCCCCCGTCCCTCGCGCGGGGGCAACGGCGGAGCATCCTTCGGCGCGGTGCGCTGTGCTCTCGCCGCCAGAGGGCAGGCAGCCCTCGCGTTGTCCTGGCCGTCTTCCATCCTCTGCGGCTCGCCGCCGCCCTATCTTCTTCATATGCGCGTTCTTCTTGGCAGGCCAAACGGGCGTGGTCGCCCACCTTTCGCGCCTGGCCCTCGGCGGCCAAGCACCCCGGGACAGCGTGGCGGCTCAGCAGCGGAGGCATCGACCATCCCTCCGTCGAGGGCACCACTGCCGCGCCCGCTCAGCTGAGAGGGCTGCGCCTCCATCAGCATGTGCTGACCGCCCGTCGGCTGGCTCAGCTGAACGCGCCACCTCGCCTGACGTGCCTGGTGCCTGGGCTGGCGCCCGTCGGTGGCTCGGCAGAGGTTGTGCGTCGTCGGGTCGGTCGGTGGTTGGGCGCCCTCGCGCGGCCGCGGCGTCGCGCCACCTTTCGCGCGCGCGGCAGCGCGTCATTGCGGGCGTGGTCGCCCACCTTTCGCGCCTGGCCCTCGGCGGCCAAGCGCCCCGGGACAGCGCGGCGGCTCAGCAGCGGAGGCATCGACCATCCCTCCGTCGAGGGCACCACTGCCGTGCCCGCTCAGCTGAGAGGGCTGCGCCTCCATCAGCATGTGCTGACCGCCCGTCGGCTGGCTCAGCTGAACGCGCCACCTCGCCTGACGTGCCTGGTGCCTGGGCTGGCGCCCGTCGGTGGCTCGGCAGAGGTTGTGCGTCGTCGGGTCGGTCGGTGGTTGGGCGCCCTCGCGCGGCCGCGGCGTCGCGCCACCTTTCGCGCGCGCGCGCGGCAGCGCGTCATGCGGGCGTGGTCGTCCACCTTTCGCGTCTGGCTCGCGGCTGCTCGGCACGCCAGGACAGCATGGGAGTATGCGGTTCTCCCTATCGATGATGCTGCCGATCATATCGTTGACCTCGCTTCTGCACGTCATTGGCACAGGTTGCTTCTGTCGGTTCGGTTGGCCGGGTGGGTTCGGTGTATTGGTCGGGTAGTGTCGGATGCGGCTGTCGGTGGTCGCACCTAAAGTGGCCTCCATGCACCGACTTCGGGTGGGAGCAGTGGCGGCCCCACCTCGTCCCGCATGGCAAAGGGTCACTAAGCTTCGATGGGGACGAACCCCGGGCCTGGTGCTTGGTGGTGGTCGTGGTGGGCTTGGTCGCATCTGCCCCGTGCTCCGCCTCGTCGGCGGCCGGGCGAGCTCCTCCTACGCCGTGGGGGCGGCGGGGGTGGCGAGCTAGGACGGACTGCGGGGGCGCGGGCAGTGGCTGTCCTACCCCCCCCCCCCTGCCCCTCACCATCCCCCCTGGCAGGCGCGGGCAGCACTCGTCCTGCCCCCCCCCGCCCTTCGAGCCCGTCTCGAAGTTTGATCCTTGCCATGCCAGGGCAACTGTGACTTGGTAGTGTTGTTGTTGGGTAGTGGTGTCGTCTGAGTAGTGCTGGCACTGCTCGTGCTGGTCGTTGCTGCAAGCCGTTGCCGGACGTTGCTGGAAGACGTGCTTGTGGTAGTGCTGGTCGCTGTGAGCGCTTTCGTGATGTGGGTCGTGCTGGTTGAGTGCATGGAGATGGTCGACGTCGTACTTCCTGCTGCTCGCACTCTGCAATGTATGCGGTGGGTCCTCGCGTGTCTCCTCGTGAGTCCTCGAGTATCCAGCTCCACGTGGCGACTCTTGCCCGAGGCGTTCCCGCGCATTCGGGGTTCCCTTAAGACTTTGCGTCCTAACGCCTCCAGCTCGACGTGGCGACTCTGACCTGGTGTTCACGCATTCGGGGCTTCCTCAAGACGTTGCGTCGGTCCCGCGGTGGTCCGTTGGCCTCGGAGCGAGCGTGGCGCCTGTCACCTTTCGCGCGCCTCCGGGTGTCGAGCGGGCGTGGCACGCCACCTTTCGCGCTCGGCCCCAGGGCGGCCACTGCGCGTTAGGTGGGCGTGGCTGTCCACCCGTCGCGCCTGACTCGCGGCAGGCAAAGCGCCCCAGGACGACATGACGGGCTCGCAGTGGAGGCATCGACCACCCCTCCGTCGAGGGCACCACTGTGGGCCCCGCTCAGCTGAGAGGGCTCGCGCCTC